GTTTTTCTCTGGTACCGGGAACCGAACTCACGACCTTGCGCTTGCCAGGCAGGCGCTTTGCCGCTGAGCTAAATCCCCAGCCCCTTCTTGTGATTTTTTTTAAAATTAGCATTGAGGGACTATTTCGGTCTCTTATTTTAAAGATAACTTTTTAAGATCAGTTTTACGTTCATAGGAAAATTGAGAAGAGAGTACAGAGATAGCCCATTTATCCTTTTCACATACATACAGTATATTGCCTCCACCATTGTCAGCATCCCCCACCAGTGTAATGCATTAGTTGCAGTTGAATGTACATGGATACATTATCATTCAAAGGTGGTTTCTTTTACTAGCAAAAGGAAGTTTTAAAAATAATAAATTTCTTGGGCTGGGGATATAGTTCAGTGGCACAAGCGCCTGCCTGGCAAGTGCAAGGTCGTGAGTTCGATTCCCTGTACCAAAAAAAAAAAAAATTCTTTTGGAGATAGTACTTTCATACTGAAAGATAAATCTAACTTTCATGTGTATCTTTTTTTCTTATTTGACTTTTGTACGCTTTCTGGGAGAGGGAACTAAAACTTGTAAAACATTCTAGAAGATAATGATAGTTTTATGTCATGTTTTCTTATGTGCTTTTTGTACATATATATTTTTAACTTGGTGCCTTAATGACTGTCATATAGACTGAGTGTAGTTGTTTGAGGAACTGCTATGTTTTGAAATATCTTTTTACTTTATTTTTATTTTTTGGTATGGGAATCAAACTCAGGACCTTGCCCTTGCCAGCCAGGCGCTTGTGCCACTGAGCTTTATCCCTGGCTATGTTTTGAAATATCATCTTTGAGATAATAAAAACACTGTAACAGTGTTACAACAATAATATACCACTTTTCTGTTGACTGTGGTCTTCAAATTGAAAAACCCTAAGGTTGATAGTAGAATAATATAGACTACTATCTTACTTTTGATGGGAGTAGGGAAAAAGCATGGGTGAAACTCAATAAAATACTGTGGTGGAAATATTTTGGCTAGAAAAGGAACGTTAGAGATGGCCTAATATTTTTAAATGAAAATAATAAGAAATCTGATTAACAGTAATACTTGGGACCTTATTAACATGTGGCATATTAGTTGGCAGATAAATTGTTGATGTACTTATGCCTAGGTGGCATGAAACTCAGTATTGGTGATTGAATGTTTTATTTTATTGAAAGAAAGTTACACTTTAAATATTAGTGTTTATGTTTGTACACAAATACATAAACTTGAAAATAAAAGTGTAGTGTGAGTTTCATGTTTGGAGAGTAGGAACAAAGTATTTTTTGTGTTGGAGATATAAACTTCATGGTAGGATAGCCTAAAATAGAGACAGTGAACCTTGTAGAGCTTATAATGATTCAGCCTGCTGAGGCACATGTGCATAGGTTTGCCAGCATTGGCCTAGAAATTATGCTGTTCTAATACAGTTGATCTGATTTACATTATTAAAGGTGCGTGTTTAGATTGCAAAATACAGAAAGAACCTTTTACATTTTTAATGTGAGTTTAAATATATAGTCCTTTGCAAAATAGTTATGGAGTTCCTCAAGATACTGGCAGGTAAAATTTCTGATAAATCTTAGGGGATAAGCACTGAAAGAAAGGGGAATTCATTGTGATTTTCAAAAAGTAATGGGGAGTGGGTTTCAGAAATTACAAAGTCAGTTTTTTGTTGAGTTTCAGAAAAATTGTGGAGACTTTTTAAATTTATGATTTGTGAAGCTAAAAAGCAAAGAGAAAAAAGCTTTATTACCACAAATCATGTTAAATATCCTGGTTTTTTTTTGACATGATTAACAGTGCTGGTTTGTCAAATGTCATCATAGGCATAGTGTAACTTGATTTCAGATAAGGTACGGAAGCGTGAACTTAACTACACTGAAAAGTTACTACATTTGTATGGAGTCATTCTTAAGGGACACTCTCATGGAGGGTCATAGGGATCTGTGTTTGTCTTATCCTCAATTCACAAAGGATGTAAGAATCAAGAAAAAGGATCACCTGAAATATTGGAGCTACAAACAAAATCTAATTAGTAATGGCTAGAAAGTTCTTTTAGGCATACATACAACAGTACACATGTCTGATAGAGTGTACTTGATTTGATAACAGGTCATCTAGTAAGGGTTCAGACTTGGGAGATGAGAATAGAGCAGAAAGAAAATAAAATTAACTAGCCTGAAGTTTAGTATGAGATAATGTGATGTGATTGCTAAATTTTAACCTTAGCTCATTCTTTTTTTTTTTTTTTAATTTAATCTTTTTGAGACAGGGTCTCGCTGCGCAGTTCAGGCTGGCCCTTGAGCTCACTTTGTAGCCCAGGCTGGTCTCGAACTCACAACGATCCTCCTGCCTCAGCCTCCCAAGTGCTGGGATTACAGGCGTACACCACCACGCCCAGCTCCTAAACTCATTCTTAAAACATGATAGCAGCTTTTAAGTATTTGAAGAGCTGTTTTATAAAATAGGGCATACTATGGAAGGGTTCAAGTGAAAGTTTGCCTGCTTCCAGAATGGTTTCTTCAGTAAATGCACTAAACCAAGGTGGAATGACTGGCTCTCTTTTAAAAGAGATTGTAGTCTTAGTGGATGGTTGAATTAGATTTAGGGTTTGTTTCTTTCAAGCTTTAAAGTCTGATTGTTGCATTTTTTAAAAAAATTCTCAGGCTCAGGCTGTAGGTTAGTGGTAGAGAAAGGATGTGTGAAGCCCTAGTTTCAATCCTCAGCACCAAGAAAAAAAATAAAAAAAGAAAATTCTCTATCATTGGGTACCTCAGAAATTTCAGTGGGAGGAGGTGGTATATAGCATATTTCATCCATCCATCCTTCTGTCTGCTTCTGTCTGTCTGTCTGTCTCTGTCCGTCTATATATATCTGTCTGTCTGTCTGTATAGCAGTGGGCACACTGGCCCAGAGTGGGCTGTCATTAAACGTCAGAATGGAATTACTGTTACATGTTTTCAGGTTCTTGCCCTTTCTCTAAGCAGCCAGGGGAAGTTCATATTTGTTGACTCACCTGTAAAATAGAGCTGCAGTAGGTGACATTTAAGTTTCTTTGTTCCAATATTCTTTTTTGGCAGATTTATTTGCTCTTCCCCTTCAAACAGTTCTGAGGTTTGGCAGTTTCAACTGATAAAGAACATACTGGGTATAATTATAAAAGCCAACTGTGATAATTTTGGAACTTTTTTTTAAGTCTTTATGACTTTAATTCATGATGATCCTTTCATAATTTAAAACTTTTGTTAATGGGCCCCACTGTTTAAATTTTGAAGAGCTGATGTGGGCGTGAGTGTATGCCTGTAATCCTAGTCCTCGAGAAACTGAGGCAAGAGGATTGCAGTGAATTTGAGGCTAGCCTGAATTACATAGTAAGACTTTATCTCGAAAAAACCAAAACAAAGTAGGTAGGAAAAAAAACTCCAAACAAAAACCACACACTTAACTTTGAAGAAGACGTAGGAAGATCTCTGGGGGAAGGCACAACTGTAATAAAATAGAATATTTTCTAGAACTCAATATGTAGATTTTAAAATAGATGATGATGATTACAGAAAATTACTGAGAAAGACTTAGGATCAGCTAAAGCCTGCAGTTGTTTTGAAAATACTCCCTTGCCCATTTTATAGTATAGTTTCACATTATAGGTAATTGCTTATGGTAATATTAGAGGCACTGGGAAATAAAATGTGTTTCATTACCTTTTATGCCTTTTCCTACAGATAGGTATTGGGAGCTTTCATGGTAAATGTTAAAATAATTCTAATACATTATTTCTCTAGGTTATAGCATTTTAAAATTTTATAATAACTAATACTGAAATCCATTTCTGTAGTGTTTACATTTGTATTTCTTTTAAAAACATACTATTTTCTATATAATGAACTAGTAAAATAATTAGTGCAGAATTTATATTCTTTGTAGTTGAGAAAGTAAGCCTTGAGAAGTTAAGTGGCCTCATGTTGCTCACATGCCTGCTAATCAGTGAGGACCTGGACTTAGAACTTGGGTGTTCTGACTACCAGTTAGTAGTGTACTTCTCCTCTTCATCACATTGCCTCTATATAGCACTTGTATATTACTAATTGATGAAATTGTAGTACGTTAAATTGTTTCTTGATACTTCACAGCTGGCAGACACACCAAAATCTGAAAGATATGAGCATGTTCTGGAGGCATTAAATGATTACAAGACCATGTAAGTTGATTTCTTTTATGTATCCCTATGAGGGAGACAGCTAGTAAGTATAAGGAATAATGTTACTGTTTAAGAGTTGTGGGATTGGTACACAGATCAAGTACATACCATTAAATTTTTTGAAATGTCTTACCTTACTGTTTTTTTTTTGGTCAGAGTAAAGCAGGGATTCTCAATGTCTGGTAAAGGGACGAGTAATCCTGGGAATAGTGGGTGGGAGGCATCTCAGTATCTTCAGAGAGACTGGTCTGTTCCATTTAAAAAGCACATTCAATAATAATTTATTTCTGTAATAGAATCTCCTGAAAGTAAGGTAAAATCTTTTAACTATTATACAGAATAGAGGTGTTTTGAAAGTTTGAGATATTTTGTGGGTTTAAGAATAGTTATTGCAGCCAGGCGTAGTTTTGCATGCCTGTAATCCTAGCACTCGGGAGGCTGAGGCAGGAGGATCTTGTGAGTTTGAGACCAGCCTGGGCTACAAAGTAAGCTCAAGGCCAGCCTGAACTGCACAGTGAGACACTGTCTCAAAAAGGAAAAAAAAAAAAAAAAAAAGAAAAAAAAAAAGAATGGTTACTGCTATCAGTTAATTGTAGAAAAGTAGTATTATTGGTCCAAGTGTGGTCTAAGGTAATTAAATGATGTTATTTGACATATTCTTATATAGATCGAGCCCTCCTTTTAAAAAAAAAAAATTAAGGTACTAAATTTCTTGAAAATATCTTCAAAATGTTATATAGATATTTTATAAATGTGTATGCTGACTCCAAATATTATATTTTGTACTTAAAGTTTTTGTTTTTCACAAGTTCCTGTTTTCTTATTAAATTATGTTTTAATTACTAGTCACTAGATCTTTAGATCAGATAAAAAAGCCATAAATAACCTGAGTAATTATGGTAGTGGTAAAAAGTATTTTATGGGACAGTGAATTCTGAGTTCCAAATTAGGATGTTAGAAATAACATCTGTTCCTATTACAATAGAAATGGAAGCTCCCTGTTCTCAAACTTGTATAAAAGTGGAAGAATATTCCAGACATTCGGTAGAGGTTGTTGTAAACAGGCAGGCTGTATTAGAGCTGAGGTAGATGAAGGTGTTTGGGAATAAGGACCATAGCAACTAAAGGAAAGAGGTACAGAACATGTTTTTCAGAGGCCCAAGGCTATACTCCACTAAAGTAATACTGCTCTAGGTTTTTTCCAATTGCATATCTGGCATACTAGACACTCATTTTATTTTCTAGGCCTTTCAGATTGGTTTCCTACTTTCATTTCTCATTCTGTCATTTACTATTTCTGACAGATTTTCTTTCCTTACAGGTCCACTTTGAGATAGAATTCTTAAAACTTTTTTGAGATCTTTCTAACAGGTGACACTAAAATGGGAAGAATATATTGGGATTAAAAGGATACTATTTTGTTCCCTCCTTCCTTGCTTGAAGAAGTTAGATTTTGGGGCTGGGGATTTAGCTCAGCGGCAAAGCGCCTGCCTAGCAAGTGCAAGGTCGTGAGTTCGGTTCCCGGTACCGGAGAAAAACTAAAACAAAAAAAAAAAAAAAAAAAAAAAAAAAAAAAAAAAAAAAAAAAAAAAAAAAAAAAAAATCTATGTTTTATAGTCTTGAGAAGGGTAAGAAATTCAAAATCATGGAACTGG